TCTCCACAGACATCAGCCTCATCAGCTTCTCCTTGGCGCTGCTCACTTGCTCCTGCAGGCTTTCAATCACGGCGTTTTTCTGCATCAAACACACACGCCTGTCAAACATGGGGCGGGCGGAAGGTATGAAAACACCACCAATTTGGAAGCAGGCGCTGCCAGAAAATGAACCGCCCCTCTCCGCATGGAGACATGCTCTGAGGCAGCACAGCAGCAAGCCTGCAAGAGCTTGCAGCGTGTGTGACCTCGTCCTCCCCTGGAGCACCCCAGAGCCCCCGAGATGTGGGTGCGGGAAGGGGGACACTGGGGCAGGTGGCTCTCTGAGCTGGGACACTCCTGCCCATGCAATGCAGATGAGCGAGCAGAAGGCTGGGGGCTTTCCTGAAACAGAGCATCTCCCCTCTACATGAACCATATCTGACTGGGCTGTGGGAACCAGGCTCTCCTGCTCTTTTCTCTACATGTTTTTTTTTAATTCCTCTAGATTACGCCTAAATTTTGGCACTTTGGGGTGCAGAGTGATGTGACAATACAAAGAAGCTCTCCCCTTCAAGAGGGAAGAGGCTGGAGGGGGAGCGCCAGTGTGGACCAGGGCGTAAAGAAGGGCTTCCCACCCTGCAAAGCCTTCAGCCCACAAAAGCAAAGAGGAAAAGCCAGCGCAGCTGAGGGGGGCTGGCAAAGCCCTGTACCTCGGTGAGCAGCCGCTTCATGGAATTTTTCTCCCCTATCAGCTGGTAGAGCTGCTCCTCGCTGTACACCGAGCGGCAGCTCCTGCTCGGGCTGGTGAAATATTTTGCCATGTGGCTCACGGTTGGGCTTTCTTCTTCAAAGGCTTTCCACTGCTTGAGCTGGGGTGTAGAAGAGGGTGTTATCAGCGCGGCACGCACAGCCCCTGCCGACGGACGTGGCGGGAGGCAGGCGCAGCTCGCGCGCGAAGGAGACAAAGGGATGGAGAGAGGGAGACAAAGGCAGGGTGTGACGGAGGAGCAGAGATGGGGCTGCAGCGTCGCTTGGAGCCTCCCATCCATCTGATCCCTGCCCTGCCCCTGGCTCCAGCTTTTAATGCAGAGAGGGTCTGTGCCTGCCTGCGCTGCAACCTCTAAGCATGCTGTAATAGTCCCTTCCCCCTTCTCCCCGCTCCCGACTCCGTGACAAAGACACTGTCACGCATGCCTCCTTATCCCCAAATCACCAGTGACAAGCTGAAAACCAGCAACGCTTAGTATCCGTTTTCTCATCTCGTGCCTGTGTGGAATCTTGCGCAGCCCAGCTCCAGCTGCTCATCGATCTCAGATGAGCAATAGAAGAGCAAGCCCATTAGGAAAAACAAGTTGATGAATTAAAAGATCCCAGTTAAATAAAATGTTCAAAGTCCCCAGGCTACAGCAGAAAAATGGTATAGGCAGAGTGCAAGAACAGCTCATCAGCTCCTCCGCCCTCACTCCGAGAGACCTTGCGCTTGGCAGAGCATTGCCAGCAGGCTTGGTGCTTGTCAGACGAGGTTTAGATCCTACTCCCAAGGGCTGGTCATCTAGCGGGTTGGGACTCTACACTTACACTGCATCAACTGAGGTAGGAGGGAACCTCTGGAGACCATCTAGTCCAACCGCCCTGCTCAAGCAGGGTCAGCTGGAGAGGCTTTCCCAGGACTGTGTCCAGTTGGGTTTTGAGTATCTCCAAGGGTGGAGACTCCACAACCCCTCTGGGCAGCCTGCTCCAGAGTTCTACAACTTTTACAGCACAAAAACCCACCCCCTTTTTCTGATGTTTAAACAGAATTTCCTGTGTTTCAGTTTGTGCCCATTGTCTCCTGTCCTTTCAGCGGACACCACTAAGAGCCTGTCTCCTCCTTCCCTACTCCACCCCCATCGGTATTTATGCACATTGGTGAGAAAACCTGAGCACGCTCTTGCACAGATCTGCTCTTTCTTCAGCTTCACCTCTTCCTCCCTTTCTCACCTCATTTCCTTGAGCCCAAACATCCCTCCTAATATAACACTGAGTAAACAACTGTTTCCTCTCCCTGTAACAATGGGAGCATTTTTCCCACTAACGTCGTGGCCAGGCACACCAGGCTGTTCCTGGAGGACACAGGAAGCAGAAGAGCCTCTCTGAGCCACAAAAGGCTTCCTCAAAACATCTCCGTGTCCTCCCCCTCGCTTGCAGCAAAGCCCAGCTTCCTTCTCCAAGAGTGCAGAGGATGACAGCCTCCCCTGGGGACCACTGGCAGCCACAAAGCCTCCGAGCCTGGCGAGGCCATCTGGATGGCCAGAGCCTGGCTCCATCCCTGCCATGGGCAGAAACCCTCAGTGGGAGTGGGTTCGTGGGGTATAAGGAGAGGATAACTACATGAAGGACCGATCCCACCGCCCACGTGGAGGAGGAGGGGGGCGGCAGCTGCCTTGCCACCCCACGTGCCCTCTACGTGGCTGCCACCCACCAGCACACTCTTGCAGGAGGGTTTCTGAGCAGCACCTCTGCAACGTGCCTGCACTCCTTGGAGACTCAGGGCACTTGCTTGGGGAAGGCAGAGCCATTGGGGCTTGGAGGATAAGCTGTGCAGGTAAGCCCAAACATTTGGGGAAAGCAGCAGGAAAACAAGTGCTTTGGCCCACATGGTTGCTGTTGGTAAATTCCAAAAATGCATCCGTTTCCAGCCAGGTGGCAGGACAGAGGTGGCAGTGTACCTGTGGGACAAAGATGAAGCAGTTGATCGTAGTTGTACACACGAAGATGCCTCCAGAGGTGAAACCAAACAGCAAGTTGTGCCAAGCGCGGAAGAAACGGTGAAGTAAGCAGACAGTGCCGGCAGCCAGGAACACGAGGTTGACCCCGACGATGAGCGTCAAGGACTGGTTGACTGGTGGGGAGCTGACGTTGTCAGTCAGACCGGCCAAGTAGGTCCCATATAGGAGGAGGATACTCTGGAAGCAGAAAAAAGAGGTTTCTAGAGTGTGGAAAATTACAGCCTGACGGTGTCAACCCCCACCTCGTACCAGGCCTGGCGAGCTCAGATACACTCAGCACAATCCTAATTAATGCTCTTTGATCTATAATGCAGACCTTCAGCGCGCGGTGGTGACACCGCGGCAAACGCCCAGCACGCTGCTGCAGGTCAGAGGTGGGGCTGGGGAGAGAGGGCAGGCACGGAGGCGCTGGTGGGCCATGGGGGTCCCCACCGAGGGGCGCGGGGAGAGGAGGGTCAGGTCAGCAGGCGATGCTGCGGAGCAGGGCACAGCCAGGAGAGGCAAGACATAAAACCTCCACTTGGGCATCCTGGAGCAAGAACAGCAAAGACGGACAGACACAAGACAGAGGTCCCTGTGGGGACGTGGCAGTGGGGTACCGTCGAGGAGAAACAACATACCTCTGAAGGAGCGGGAAGGAGATTCAGAAGGACATTCAGAAGGAAAAAGCAAGGCAGAAGTGGAGGTTTACGCTGGAGGGAAAAGGATGTACTTGGTGCCTCTTTAAATAGAAATCCAGGAAACTACCAGGTGCAATTCTTTCCTCTTCCCTTTCCTGCCTGCCTAATAGGAGTGAAAGGGGCTAGAGAAGTGCTCTGTACACAGAGGTCCTCTTCCGCTGGCCCCGGAGCAGGTCGGTTGTTTCAGAGCAGGCTTCCTCACCACGCTGCCCCTCAAGCGTCCCACGCATGCATCTTTCCAGTGTGCTCAGGATTAAACTAACCCACAGGCTGAATCCTTCCTTCCCCAGGGCACACTGGCAGGAAACACAGAGTATTTTTTGCCCACCTCTGCAGCACAGGGCATGGTCTGCCTTCAGGATCATTTGGAAATACCATCTAACAAAATCCCTGCTCCTGCAAGGGATATTGGGAACATGACTCCTACATTATTCCTGTGCCACCCACTAAGTGCAACTGTCAGCATTTTACTAAGAGACATTAAACTGTTATTTGGGCTACAAGAAGTGCTTTGTGACCTGTGGTGCAGATGTTCTGTAGACCCTTCTGGACCCCTCCAAGCTGTGGCTGCTTGATGACCGCAATGGCCACTGCCAGGGTCAGGGTCTGGAGGGACACTCTTACAGGCAAGAGAGGTTCATGTCCACAGTCTTTGCTGAGACTCCCAACTTCAGAGCACCATGAATTCTCAAGGTGGGGGTTGTAATAGTGAGATCTGCCTTGCAGGGAATTGGGCTGACACCCGAACCTGCTTTGCAGGATGTGCACTGGATCACAACCATGTTCACCATGGGGCACCTCCAAGCATGTGGCCCAAAGGCAAGCCAAGCCCTAAGCTCCGAGCAAGAAAAAAACAGCACCAAAGTCCCATGTGAAACGTATATAATCTGGGACACAGACAACAGCACTGCCGTCTGATAAACTAGCACTTGCAATAAGCACAGGACTAAGTTTTTTGTTTGTTTGTGTGTTTTAATCTTGAGCAGAGGACTTTGCTCCTAATTCCAGGCATGTCCTTGGCAAGTAATTTCTGTTCATTACTCTGTGCCAGTAAAACCAGGATAACACACTGAGCGGCTTCACAAAGGGCTGAGCACATTAATGCGTGAAAGATAAGAAGTGCTACGTACACGCAGAGATAGAGGCTACTCTCACATTAGTGTAAATCCAGATTAACTCAAGAAAAAAACCCAGAAGAAATACCTCCATGGTTCCCAGTAGGTAGACAGGATCAGGGTCAGGTTCAGTGCAATGCTAACAAAGAGTACCTGGGACTGGTAATGGGGACGTTTTATTCCAAAAAACAGTTTGCAGGAGCTGTAGGCAAAAGCATTTTAGGGCCTAAACCCTAACACAAACTGCGGACAAAATCAGAGGTGGAGACACAGCACTGGAAGCCTAGGGAACGCCTGCAATCCCTCGCACCAAAGGAATTTTAAGGACAGGCTAGACTAATGTCTTTAAAATGAAGCGTAGGGGGGAGAAGGACTTGGCTGTGTTGTGAGGTCTCTTCCTGCTCTTTTTCCTACGATTTTGGGTAGATGGTCAACGAGTACTATGTTATGGTGAGTCAGAAAGGAACTGCCTGTTGTGCACGCAGAGATGGAGCCATTCCCAAAGAAAGGCTGTGATCTCACAAGCTTCATCAACATCAGCTTTCTGAAATGCGTCCAGCCTTTGCCAACCCAGAAGAGACACATGAGACCACAGATAATTACGGTGATAATTATACCTACATAGTTACATCAGTATAACTAACTCTGTTGGAATAAGAACAGCCACGTGCAAAGCTACACCAGTGAAAGTGTGCCTCGGTGGTATAATTAAGCTCGTACACATCCTGTAAAGGTAGCACCGAGCCCTTGTTATCAGCAACTCCTTGATTTGGAGTCAGGGGACTCGGGGGCTGAGCTGCAGTGCATCACTGCAGTGGGTGGTCATCTGAGGCTTTGTGGAAAAAGTGTGCTTTAAAAAACAGTAAGACATAAGTTTTAAGAAGGGAGAAAGATGAGGCGTGGGGGGTAGCAGGGAGAGAACTTAGTATGTGCATAGTGTAGGTAAAAGAGATGCATTAGGCAGGGAAAAAGTGGCTAACGGCTTTTACAAGGGAATGCAAGAAAACGTCAAGATGGGAAGGACTGGAGATGGGAGGGCTTTCAAGATGAACAGAAGTAGCTGGAATCTGCAGTAGGCATGTAGCTTGAGAGGGCAGCAAAACTACAAATGCTGCTTAACAGTTTAGGCTCTGAGACTGGGAGAAGGTGAGATACAACGCAAGAATTAATAAAAAGATTACGTACCTTAAACCCTAAAATGAGAACGAGCCAAAGATCAGAATAAAGAGACGCGCAGGACTGCACCCGGCTCACTGAGCAGGTCATGCCTTTCTCTGTCGCCTAGGAGGCAAGGGGAAGGCAGAAGTGAAGGCTGCTGCCCGGGAGCGGGCAGAGACCGATGGGCAGACAGGTCTACGCATCTGAGCAGGTCTTTCCTGTAAATTCTTAAAGTGAAAGGCCAAAGCTGGTGCTGCCAGGGGCAGAGGGTTAAAGGGAGGAAGATTTTGGCACTCTGCTGCCAACAGGGCCGGTTAAAGCCTTCTCTAAAGCATCTGCAGATGCCACGGACTTCTCCTGTGCCATCTAGGTGACCTGCACAGGCTGGTCAAGATCATCCACCAGACCTTACTGCTTGGCAAACCAAAGCCCTGAAACCAGCTATCCTTTGCCAGGTTTGGGTGTACAGACCTGGAAATTTTGCAGTGGACCCTCATCTCTGTAACAGGCCAGACATAAACCCAACCCCGAGTGCCCAGAAGGCTTTGTAGCTTGTCTGTCTGTCTTTTTTTTTAAACAGCACCTCCAAACGCCTGACCACCCACCAACTTTGTCCACAGAGATTATACAGGACACGGTGCAATGCTCCACCACCCCTCTCCTCCCTTTACCCGCAGTGAGACGCTGAGGCTTCGGAAACACTGGACCGGATCAGAGAACACCCACGTCAAGAGCAACACGGCGTCCGCCAGCACCAACGCTGCCACCATCGCCAGCAACTGGAGGTCTTTGATAATCTGCAAACACACAAGAAGTTAAGCGTTAACCGTGGGGGGCAAATGGACACCAATAACCCCTGTCTCCTGGGTCTCTTTCTGGTTGCTTCTTGCAAGGGTCATGTCCATCCTAACGATTCCCCCAGAGTGGAGTCCAGCAGCTCACCTACATCCGAGTCGGTCACAGGATCTCTGTCTCCAGCTCCCAAACTCTTGGAGACCTATTTGAGCTTGGGGCCAGGTATAAACCCTCCCTGACAGTGTGGCTAGCTGGTAAATGCCATGACAGAAAACAGCTCTTCCAAAACAACAGTATCATCCCTCATGCCCATATCATAAACAGAGAGAAAAAGGGTGGGGAAAAAAAGCTGGTAGGATTATAATTTTGCAGGTTTAACACAGATCCTGGTGCCTCAGGAATGGGAGTCCTTGCTGGCACCCAGTTCCTCTGCAAAACCCTCGTCTCACCTTTCCTCTGAGATCTACATTTTTCACTGTTAGAAAGTGGTCGCTGGAAATGCACTGTTACCTGCACAAATTTCTAGAGGTGGCTCCCATTTCCCTCCCAGCTGCTGTACCCCATTCCTTCAGTGATGCAGAGGAGTTCCCTCCCTCCCTTCAAGAAGGGATCAGATGCATCTGGGGGCGGCCCTACATTAGACACCCTTGAGGATGCCTGGTTTATTTTCATTGTGCAAAACCGATCAGCCCAGACTTGGATATTCACGCCAGCGTGCAGTGTAATGAAGGCACGTGGCCAGTGTAAAATGAGAACAAGACCTCACTCAGTGAGGGGGCTGGGACTCCACCAGGGAACAGGCAGCCTGGCAGGGCACCTGCTTGCCTGCAGAGTGGAAAACCTCTTGCCTCATTGCACAGGAATAAATGTGGAGCCCATGCCTGCCTAGGTGTGAAAGCAGACCTGTGATCGTGGCACCCATCCCTGTCACGTGGCAGTTTTATTCACTATCCCACACTGTTTTTGGACTTGCTGGTGTTCGCCCCCCTTGGAGAGTTTGCCCCCCCACACTCTGGATGCTGTGTACTCACCACTCGCTTGTCCGGCACCCGCTGGGTGAACACCTTGTAGAGCCGCCAGCTTTTCCCCAGGACGGGGCCGAACACCAGGGAGGTCCCCACACACAGCAGGCAGAGCCGCACCTGCCGGGGGGGGCAGAGCAAGGGAGCTGAAGGGGCAGCCATGGGGCTTGCAGGGACACCCCGTGCCCTCCCACCCAGGGATGCAATAAAGATGGGTGGGGATGTGTCTATGGTCTTCTGGAGGGTCACACCAGATACTAGAAAGCTGACTGCAGGGTGAAATAAATTAAAAGGCGTGTATTCCTCTGTAGGCACACCTGCTGCCTGCCTTTTCCTCCCCACCCTGAGAGGCTCTCGTCAGAGGAGCCGGCAGGGAGAGCCAGGCAGCTTGCAAGCGGCAGGGGCACTAAGGGTCTCAGCCCCAGTAAATCACTCGCTGGCACCTGTGTTAATTATCCTCAGCCCCGTGGCTGAGCAGGATGGCAGGGTGTGCCCTCTCCCACATCCCACTCCCCCTACCCAGGTGGGTGCCCAGTCCCTGGTCTGGCAGGGCAGCTGCCCTGGGTCAGGACACAGGGGGTTCCTCACACAGCATTTTGACGTAGATCTGCTTTGCAGCCAAACAACTCGCCTGCAGGCTCGCAGCACGTGCGTGCAGACAAGTGTGTCTGCGTGTGTAGGCACCTGTCCCAGCAAACCCCCCCATTCACCTGAATAAGCTTTTCCACCGAGTCTCCGGATGGCAGGCTCTGCTCTTGAATCCCAAAGAGGTAAGCACTAGTGTAAGTCAAGCCACTGCCCAGCAGGGTCACAATGTTCAGATTGGGGCTGGACATCTTCACGATCCTCCAGGAAATAAAGCAGGGAAGGCGGTGACAGTTAGTGCGAAAGGTCCCCTTACAGGGGTGATAAGGAATGCTGACACGCTGTCCTCCCCAGCCCCTGCTCTTCACAGCTCCTCCAAAATCTCAGCCATTGCTCCATGGTGCATAGCCCATCCTCTCCCCTGTATTGCTGTAGTGCTTCACTATCCTTAAAGTATTCATTTTGCCCTACCCCAACACTCCTGTGGGACAGCAAGATTCCCTCTCTCCAAAACAGATGGGTGCCAGGCTTGCCCCATGGCACCCCTACCCCCGGCATGCGACTGCGGCACAGAAAAGCATCCCTGAGGCAACTTCAGCCAGCGCCTTTATGGACAAAACCGTGGGAAGCCATGGGCTTTCAGCAGCAAAGCAGACAGCGTCACCACAGCCAGGTCTCTGCTACTGGTGCCCGTGCCAGGCACACAAAGCTGTGCAGCGCTGCCGGCACGTGCTGCGGCCACACATCCCCGCAGCGGCACAGAGCCAGGGGAAGCAATGCCCCGCGGTCACGCAGGCGACACGCAGCACAGCGCCCAGCTCAGACCCTAGGTTCAAGGTCAACATCTTCCTCCACTGTAAAAGGGCAGAGTGGAAAACCTCACTAATGCAGCCCAGGGTGACTGTCCCCAGCAGTAAGCTTTGGGTATGGCAGCTACAAATGCCTCCAGGAGCAGGCTCTTCCCACTGCTCCTTCCTCTGAGGAGATACTTCCACCCTCAGCACAGTCTTGACTTCAGGAAGCTGCCAGCAGTGTTCAGGTTACAGCTTCCCCTCTGTAATTTCACCCCATCACTCATAACCCTGTAACTGTATTCAGGGAGGGGAGAATCGACCCACCGATCTCTCCTGACCTGTCACCCTTCTCCAGCATGCCCATCACGCGAAAGCTGTAGCTCCTGCCATCCCCCCCGTGCAGCTCCGTCCCTTCGATCCGCTGCTAAGTCACCGCCTCTCTCTACCCTTGAGCTCCTTCCTGGCTTGCTGCCTGGCAGACGCAGAGCCTGGGATTCAACCTGGCTCTCTCCCTCTGCCTTCCTCGCCATGCCTCAGCCCCTGGGAAAAGATATTCATCAGCTCACCCTCTCAGCTGCACGCTGAAAAAGGTCTCCTTTGCTCTCCCAGGTTCAGTAGGCAGACATATATTTATTTGCTGCAGTGCAAATAAATAATACACATTCATTACAGCTTGCTCTGAGAATATCTTCAGGGGCCTAAATAATGTGGTAATCAATTAAGGTGGCCACCAAACTCAACGCCACTCTGCTTCAGTAAATCAAGTGCTTGAGACTGGGATGCCGGTCGTGCAGCTACTGCACCGCAGCAGGCGCAGGGCTCAAGACAAACCCTTAGCAGGACCCTCCCGACTGCACGGTGGTTATATGAAGCGCCAAGCTCCCTAGCACAACCAGAGCCCTGGAACAGCAGCAGCCCGGGCTGCACACACATGCACGTCTCGGTGCAACACAACAGCACGTGGAGCACAAGGGCTTTGCCAGGTGAAGCTTGGGAGAGGGATGTATCTTGGGCAGGGGAGCAGCTGAGAGACCAAGGGACCAATGAAGCTGAGGAGAAGGTGGCAGATGAGACATCCAGAATTGCTGAGGAAGGCTAAGCACTGGCTGAGACAGTTTGAGCCTTCTGCTTCATTTATGCTGCATTCAAGGGAGCAGGACTTTTTATATCTTTTGTGTAGACTGAACAGCACCAAGAAAAGCCTACACTTCACCACCAGCATCTCTCACCAACGGGGATCATGTTCCCCACCAATATGGACAACCACCAAGATCAAAAAAAGTTAGCAATATCTTCAGACTACGAGCGGCCCAACAGCAGGAATGGTATGTGCGCATTGTGGAGAGCATGACAGCTTTGCTCACGGAGCTGTGCTGCTCAAAGTGATGCTCTCAAGACTGTGGAGTGGAGAAGGAGACCAGCTCTCTTTCCACTCACTTTTGTTGATGGTTTTATTGAATAGCACCTTCAGGATGAGACCATGCACAGCTGCCTGTGCCACTGCGGAAGGCATCCATGCTCTGCCTTCTCCACAGCTCCCTGTCTCAGGGAGGAAGGGAGCAGACCAAGCAGGACTGTCTCCACCAGTGATCAACACCGGCTACGATGGAGAAAGCTGGCACTGCCTTTGCTTGCCCCATGCTACTCCTTCAGGCTTGTGCCCTCCTGACCCATAGCTGGCCATCAGCTCAGAGCCTGGTCCTGAAGGAGCCCGACCTCGCTGCTCCAGCTCAGGGGAACTCTCCCAGCAGAAGAAGGAAGCCCTTACTTGTTTTTCCTGAAGCGAATTGTGAAGACAAGAAAAAAGAGCGCTAGCAGGACTCCTCCAGTCAGGAACGTCCACACGACTCCCACGAGAGCAGCAGAGAAGGACGGGGAGCTCTTCCCACTGCGGTCAGAAGATGTCTGCAGGAGGTAAAAGGTGTGAGGAGGAAGAAGACATTGCTGGAGCTCCCAGTGAAGGAGGTCCCTACGCTGGCACGATCGCTCCCACGGGTGCTCCTGCTCAGCCAAAAACCACATCTCCCAAACCCCTCCTCATGAGCAGACACCCTGGCACCAGACCAAGACCCACAGGCAGGGCTACTGAGATGCGTGTAGGACACGTGCTCTACCACATGCTGAGCGCACAGGAGAGGGCAGTCCAGGAGCCCTCTTCTTACGACCAACCAGCCAAATACATATTGAAACCGTACAAGTGACTCATAAACCTCAGGCAGCCCTAGTTGTGAGAGAGAGGAAAATGGGTGACGGTTCCTCGCCGTCCTCCTCTGGAAGGAAACCTCTAGCGACAGACCTCACAGTACCCCAGTTTGTAGCACACTGCTTTGGAAAGCTGGGCAGGGCATCCTTGGCCAGCCGTTCCCACCCTTACCCCTACGTGCGGCAGATAACCAACCAGCCGGCTGACGTGACTGGGAGCCAGCAGCAGAGCTGCTGGTCGGTGCAGAAAACACAGAAAAGGGAGTGGGACAGCGTTTTTCAGATGTGTTACGCAGTGACACACCGAGCTGGGCTCCACCCGTCTCCCAGCTGGCTGGAAACTAACTTGGTCCTGGGTAGATGTCAGCTGAGAATTGGCTTTTGAGGGACACTCCCAAAGTGAGCATGATGGAGGCACCTCTCTCCTTGCACACAAGCGACCTTATGGTTTTAAATCTCCCTTTAAAAATATTCTCTGCTATCTCCCTATTAACATAGGATGGATAAAATGATCCTATGTGAAACAAGAAACCTATTTCTGCTGCAGATCTAGAATACTCCAGCATTTTTACCAGGGTGTGCACATGTGGGTTTGTTCACACATACTATGTGTGCATGTTAACTGACAAAAAATTACTTTTATTTAACTGCTGGCACATCCCCTTTAAGGGGAAGGAGAAAGGCAGGGACTGAGCTGGCATCACATGCCTCCTCGCTAACTTCTCTGCTGCTAAGTACTTTCTCAGGTATTCCAGTTCACCTGCACTCAATTTCTGCAGTAGAAGACTATTTTCCCAACAGCTGCCACTGCCTCAAACTCCCAATTCTTCCTTCAAGATCTGAGCTGTTTCTGCTGCCAGCATTGCTAGAAATAAATCTGCAGGGAGAAGTAAGGCAGCATTTTTGAGCTGATGCCTCATCTCCCTCTTGCCCAGCTGGGCTCCATCTCCTCTGGACGAACAAAAACAAGGCATAGCTTAGAGAATTAAAGTCAACGTGTAATTCTCAAAAATGTGTCACCGCCACGTGAGCACAGCTGATCCGCAGGCTCCTGGCAGCTCACACGCCGGTGCCACGCTGGTCGCAGGGCTGCTGGGAAAGGCAAACCCCTGGCTGGGAGAAACAGCCAAGCCGAGAGCCGATGCTGCCGTGTTACGCTGGGATACAGCTACATGCACAGCTCAGCCCTGCTCTGCAGCAGCGTGGAAGGATCCCTGGGGAGATACTCATTTCCCTCCTAAAAATTGCTCCCCACCTCCTCTTGCCTCTCCCCATCCCCTGGGCTGGGTGGAAGGGCTCTTGAGGGTCTCTGGGAAATGAAGACCGCAGCAGACAGTCACGCAGGTTGGTTCCCCTCCTCTTACACCAGGACTCGCTGTGCAAAAACCCCATCAGAGGGGCTGACAGTGCTGCTCGAGGCCGGTACGAGGCTGCAATGCCAACCCATTTCTGCAGCCTGCCTGGTCGAGCCAAAGGGTAACACCTGGCTTTTGCCAGTAAGGAAGTGTGGGAGCCCCAGGATGCTGAATCCACCCTGCTTTCACTTCCAGCAGCACCCACCACCAATATCTTTCCACCTCTGGCTGCTGCTGACAGCATTACTGTACCCTCTTCCCAGCAACCACCCCGGGATGAGAAAGACCCCTATGTTCTCCACCTTTCTTTTCCCAACACACACCCCTCCACCCCGACTGCTGTTTCCCTGGATGTTGATGATACTTGAAGTTGATGGAGCGCTTCATTTGCCGCTGAGTGGAGTAAATCCTGGCCCTAGCAGGGGGAATATTAATTGTAAGGCAGCTGCCAGAGCCAGAGGAGCCAAGCAGCTTACGGTCTTCTAATTAAAGGCCCGTGGTCGTGCAGGACACGGTGGAGAACCGAGCAGGCCAAGCCTCGCTGGTCCGTCCAGCAGCCTCATGCAGAGCCAACTGCAACTCAGTGCATCCCAGTGTCCTTTCTACTGGCTTAGTGGTGGGGGGCAGGTACCATTTATTACAGATGATGGCTTTTAATTAAATCCTGCTCTATTCATATTTGAGAAGCACTTTGAAGTTCCAGGGGATGGGAAAGGTCAAGGGCAGAGGAAGCCATTCCAGGCCACTCCTAAGCGGCTGTCACGCCAGCCGACACGTGGGAGGGCAGCTTGACACGACTTGGCTGTTGTGGCTGCTTCCTCACCTTCTGCCTAACTACTGGGTGTCATCTAGACAGGGCTTGTCTTGGAGGCCATCCCTGGAGATGACAGTGTGCAGCCTCCTGCTAGACAGGACTGTGTGGCAGCTATGCCCTGTGCCCCCCTCTCCATCCCTCCACCCAAATCCACCTCTGCAGAGCAAACCTCGCACTCCCCCCCCTCCGTACGTACCACCGTGACGGTGCAGAGCTCCTCCAGTGCCCGCTGCTGCTGCTCCCGGCTGCCAAAACTGGAGCTGCCATCGCAGAGCTCAGAGCAGTTGAATCCCGGCTCCATAGCACATCCTCAGCCGTCATCCAGCCGTACCTTCGCCCCTGCCAGAAGGACGAGGGTCGGCTTTCTCCAGGGAGAAGCAGCCCTTGGCGTACACCGTATCTCCCCCCATCAGCAGGGCGTAGGGAAGGGGTCCGGCAGCCCGGGGCTGAGCTTACCCAAAGCAATGCACCACACATCCAGAGCCAGGATGGGGAGCGCCCACCTCCTGGCGTCCCTTGGGGTGTGCTCTGCGACGAGGCGAGTCAGCGTGGGGTTTGGGTCCCTGTGGAGCACTGCAGCATCCCGAGCCCTGCTATGCCACCCTGCAAACCAACACATACCATGGTCACAGTGGCCCCCAGCTCCTACACCCCAGTTACGGAGCCAAAACCAGGTGCCGTGCTGGTCCAAGGTGGGTCACGGCACCCCAGCACCCCGAGCTTGCCACAGCTTTCCTCTGCCAATGCATTTTCCCGCACTGGTGCAATTTCAGGGCATATCTTTGCAGGGCACCCTCACTCCGGCAGCCGCTGCTGGTTTCCTGGCACAATCCCTTCTTCCAGCAAAGAACCAGCCAGCGAAGACAACAACAAACAGCAACAAGTGTTGCCATCGCTTAATGGCACCTAAACCCAGGCCTGGGCGAGCACAGGAGGAACAGGCTTGAATGGCACACGTACCAAAGCGTTTTGGCTGGCTTGGCCCAAGCGGCAGCCTGGCTAGCTGAGAAGCAGGTTGTTCATTAAGGAGATTTAAGAAGCCCAGCACCTCTGTGCTCCCCATCCCTCCCGGCGCTCTGGCTGACCGGTATTGTGCCCGCCTGCACCCGCTCCCCTCGCACCACCTTTGCCTCTGTTCCCTCTTTCATTTCTCTTTTTGGTGGAGATTTTAATAGGCCTCATTACCATTTTAGACATGAGGTCATACTTAACCTCCAGCATCCTTACTCAATTACCATTGTCACAGGTTTTAATTAGCTTCCAGCGCACGACTGTAAGCAAGTCTCCCGTCGTTAGCAGCTGGGGAGGAAGCGCAATAGCTCACTCCCTCTTTGCTTCATACAACAGGTAGAAGGAAAAAAATTACCCACATCGTGCTCCTTGGGGCTGGTCCCCAGCCGAGCATCCCCTGCGCTCGTACCCGGCACCAGGCTGGTGCTCCGTCCTTCCCCACCGCTACTGCTGACACTTTGATCCCCTGTCCTCAGAAGTCCTTCCTTAGGAAAGACTCCCATAATTATGTGAGCAAAGAAAAAGTAAACTAAAACAAAGCGTGGGTGCCAGGACCTGGCCTGAAACTTACTGTTCTTCATGGGGGATAACCAGGATTCAAATGCCAGAAAAGCTACGGGCATTGTTCTCAACTCGTGTAAACCAATTTTCAACTTTAGCAAAGTCACTTACAAGTCCCAGCCCAAAACCGTCTGGGCCAGCAGGCCACTCATACAAAATTAGCAGAACCACCTCTGAAGCGACAATAGCAACTCTCCTGCTGGCAGAAGCCCCGACATACTGCAGGTCTGGACACCGTTCTGCCTGTGCCAGGACTGTCCCCAGCACAAGATCAGCTTGTCGTGTCCTACAAACACAGTATCATGCATTAGCTAAACTTACGATTTTGCATGTGCGATAGACACTTTTTTCAAGAGCGCCGGTGCAAGCCAGCTCCATCAAGCCTCTGTCTATCTCTAGCTTGCAGCAAACTGTGGTGGCATTTTCTCCACAGCAGGACCACGGTCTGGAGGTTTCCATGCCCTTCGTTGCTCAGGCTGAGTAATCAGACAAGGGGTACGGCTGCAGGAGATACCCAGCTGCTGCAGCCAACGCCGGGTATTGCGACAACGGCAGAAGGGCAGCGGAGAGGAGGAGACAGGCTCCAGGTAAGCG